CTTTGCAAGTTTTGCCTACAGAAGGGGGAAGAAATTATTTTATTTTTCCCCTTGTGTACCCAGCCTCTTGATTCTAGCCAGAATTCAGGCTATTAGAAATAAATAATAATAGCATGCATTTTGGATGGCATTTTAAAATTTAAAAATCACTTTTGTCTATGGGAATTGAATCTAAAGGTCAGATAACAGACAACAAACAGTGCAGCTAGTTCAAGCTCCGGGGAGATAACCTGTACAGAACAGGTCTGGACTTTTGGGTAAAACAATCAGGAGGAATCTTGAAGTGTATATTAAGTCTACCCTTCTTACTCTTTGTTGCCTTCTTATACTTGACAGAGTGGTGGAAAGGCTGCCTCCATCTGAGGTTACTTAGTACGCTGTTTTTGCAGGGGAACAGGAAAATTATGCTCCCTAGATACCTGTATAGCAACACCTCTGAGATACTCCTCCAATTTACACAAAGGCATCCTCTGTTGGCTACAACTAATAGCACAAGCCCTCACTAGTGTGTTTGTCATTAATGATTAACCAAAAGACACAATTAACTCTTAGCAGAAGACATTTACTATGATGGTATGGTAGCTACAAAAGCTTCCCCCAAATAAATCTAGGGTTGGTTGCCCCACAAATACACACAATATTCATGGGAACGGAGTGAATTCAAATTTAAGAGTATGATGGTAGTGAAGTATATTTCTAGGATATATATGTGGCAAAGGCAACCCAATTCTTGGTACTATATGGTCTAAAAATCCTTTGGGCCTAAAAATTCCTTTCTTTGTAGAGTCCTCACACATTTCCACCTTAGGTGTAGCGTCTCTACTGGGTGGGTTTCTCAGCTGGGTTCTACTTCTTTTCATAGCCTGCTTTTATCTTTATTCTAGACAGTCCTGTTCTTTGAAGCTGCTTCTTCCTTCTTTCTGTATCCATCCCTATCTGGGCTGTATCATTCTCTTAACTATGGCTAAAAGTGATGCTGTCTTAAACTCCTTCTGCTAGATTCCATGGTCAATGGTGGGGGACAGAAGAAGCTTAGAGGGGTCTCTTCCATGTATAACTCTGAGCCTGTAAGCCTTAAAGTCCAGGCTTTAGCTATTTAAAGCCCTTCAGGGTTTGTTCATACCTTATAAAGCGTGGTTCCAGTTGTAATTTTGTAGTTAATTTACCACCTATTACCATACTGAATAAACCTTGTGACTGCATTATGGGAGAGAAGGAGAGGAATCATATTCTTCCTCTCTTACACTTATACTGCTGTTGAAGTATTATAGCCTTTCTCATTAAAGCAACCCTACATTGCTTGCTTGCTTACCTAGATTCCCCAATGCTTCCCTAAGCCAGATTTGATCCTCTCCTCAATCAGGTAAGAAGGAAAGGAATGGAAAAAAGCATTTATTGAGTGACTACCATGTGCCAAGCTTTATAGATGTTACCAAATTTGATCTTCATAACAACCCTGGGAGGTAAATGCTATTATTATCCCCATTTTACAATTGAAGAAACTGAAGCAAACAGGTTAAGTGACTTGTCCACAGTCACACAGCTGGCAAGTGTCAGAGACTGAATTTGAACTAATGCCTTCCTGAATCCAGGTCAACAAACTCTTATTTCATTGGCTTTTCACAATATGGATGTGGTAGTCAAACTCTTATTTTACAGATGAGTAAATCACTTGAGTTAGAGAAGTGACTTATTTAAGATTACATGTAGAACCTAAGTCTTCCAACTATAAATCTAGCATGCTTTCAATTATGCCATTGTGAGATATGAAAAGTTGGAGAGATTAATTATGCCAGTGGATAATTAACAAAAGGGGTCAGTGGCACTCTCAAATGCCAAAGACCCCTCATGGAACCAATAAATGCTTATATGCCCTAGGAAGAGTGAGTATTCCTGAGGGTGGCAATCAATTCTGATTGGTTAACAACTAATGAGAAGAATGGATATTATAATGAGAGGTGGGCTTATTCTAATGAGGGGCTGGGGGCTCTGATCACTCCTGCTCCCAGATCATCCCCAGCCTGGGGCAATCTAGACAAAGGAACTACCAGGGCTTCCCCCACTTGGGTGGGGTCTGAATAAGATTGAGGAGAAATAATCCAATCTCATTATCATCAATGTCCTTCAGATGTTGGCTTGACCTAGAAGAGAGAATAAGAAAATAGGAATTTCCCCAATAATTAGTTATTTAATAATTTCTCTCACCATATAGTATCTGAACTTTACCTATACTGCTGAGGGCATCACCATCCTCTCAGTCATCAAAGCTTACAACTTAGGTGTCATCATTCTTGCCCAGCATATCCAATATCTAACATCCTTTCTCATATCTAATCTAGTTACCAAAACCTGTTGATTTTTGCCTTTGTAACATCCATGACACTGCAACTACATTGGTGTAAGCTCATTTCATTGCCTGCTGATTGGTTTGGCTACCATGAGTCTCTCCTTAAAATATATTCCATCCTCCACTGAGTTGTACAGGTCTGACCATATTACCTCCCCTCAGTCCATTCGATAAATTCTAAGGGCTCCCTATCACCTCCAGATCAATTAAAATCCTTTGGCCTTCAATGCCCTTCACAACCACATCCCAAATACCTCCTTGAAAAAGATAGGCTGCAGTTAACATATAATTCTAATTCATCATGAAACATATTTTTATGAAAGCTATTTTTATTATTTTGACAATTTCTCTTTAGTCAGAGCCACCATACCCAAATTAAACAAAGGCCAAACAGAACTAAGTTAAGATTAAATATTCTTTCCTTTTCTTACTGATGAGGATGGGATTTGGACCCCAAAAAGGAAAAACCTTGGACTTTCCCACCTGGCCAAATCTCTGCGTTCACCTGAGGCTATAATCTCATCAACTGGCCTTTCATTGTGGCTACACCCAATCTCCCACTTCTCTGTTACTCTCAACCTAGCCTAGCCCTCCATTGTCTTGCCTCCAGCAGGGCCCCTGGCCACTTCCCACCCTTAATTCTTGCTAGGCTCCATTTTTCCCTAGGCCACTTAGTCCAGGTCCCTGGCATTCTATTACCTCACAGTTCCTGCAGACTACTTGGCCACTCCTAGATCTCTCCCACAGTCTTTCTGTATATAAGGTCCATCTTGTCTCCATTAAGGTGCTCAGATTCTTATTTAGCCACAGCTCAGATTCCTTAAGAGTCTGCCCAATATGGCAGATGTTCTAATAAATCTTGTCTTGGGTTGAATTCTTTTGGACAGGACCTGCATGTTCTGATTTTGGGGTCCCGGCGCCTCTAAATCCCTAGACGTCAACATTTTGGGTCCTCTATACCAGCATGTTCTTATTTTGGAGTCCCAGCACCCCTGAAACCTATAAACCTCAACATGACCTCCCCACTCTGACCCCCCACCCCACCCCTCCACATCTGGGCTAGATATCAAAGCCTTCTCTCACAGATACCACAAATGCAGATACAGGTGGTATTCAAATTAAGTGTAATAAGTAAAATAATTACATTTACTGATAAATGATAAACCTTTTAACTTCAAACATATTTTAACGTTGCAATATGTCCTAATTTTGCTGTAATCCCTTGTTTACATGATTTGATATTGAATTTCTGAAATTTCTGACACATTTGTTATTCTTCACATTGAAACATCTTTTTGTCACACTGGATATTAAGCACACACCTATGACAAAGATGAACATTACATTTTTTCCAAAGTCTAGTATTGATTATAAAACACATAGGTTTTCAATGGTGTTTAAATCAGGTGAACTTCTAGGCCTTTGAAGCTTATTTCTTTCTCTTGGATAAGTTTCTTAACTATTCACATGATGTGTGGCATGATACAAGGTTTTATTGCCATAGTCCATCTTCATTTGAGAAGCTCCTTCCTCTCAATTTAGCAAATGTAAATATTTATCCTCCAGTGGGAATATGACTTCTAGGCTCACTGGAAGTGAAAAATCCTCAAAATATGTTTTGGGGTAGATGTTTATAGTCTGATCTGAAGATACACAGATCTTATAGGTTTACCTGTACACCTGGGTTTTGTTGTTGTTTTTTTTGGGGGGTAGGACTTTTTGATTAGATGTGTTTAAAGGGAAGGGCTGGATTCCAGTTAGTCATGATTTCCTTGTGTTCCCCCCTACAAGCATTCGGCTTCATTGAGATTTGGCACCTCCATATACTCTTCCAAATCCTCCCTTCCCCCAATATGCACTCAGATTGGGTTCCCCAGGAAACTTCTACCTCAAATTCTAAGGGTAAAGTAGTGGGTGCATACTCCTATAACACAGTTCATGAACCCCTATTGATGGGGGCGGGGCCCAAGCCAAGATCTTCGCCCTTTGCCCCAAAGGGAATTTGACTCACAGGCCCCAGCCCCTCATCTCCCTTTGAAAGCCTTAGCCTACCTTTTAATTTCATTCAGATACCTTTCAGTTCCTTCATTATCTATTCCCATTGTCTATTCAATCTCTTAGACATTCCAGTCTCTGGGAATTCTCACCCAGACCTTTTTCCCAGACCCTTTTCCCCGACCATTTTCCCAGACCCTTCCCTGGTCACCCAAAGTATATAAGATCTACCCTGGCCCTCATTCGGGGCTGAGAATCTCAGGCTCACAAGGCTGAGAACCTCTCATGCCCGCTCGTCCTTTATGGGTGTCACCTGGCCTATATGTTTTACCACTAATAAACTTTTCCTCTGGCTGAAGAAGATTTGAGTTGAATTCTTTCAGGCAGGGCCCGGTACCGTGATCTTGGGGTCCCAGCACCCCAAAACCCCTAGACCTCTTCACTATCAGTAGGCCATTAACAATCAGCCAAAAGATTCAGTTAGCTCTTATGAAAGCATTATAAGAACCATTAGAGCAAAATATTTACCCTTCCTTCCTCCTCAACCTAGGGCATATGTTCTCACAAATACAGGGTTCATGAGGGAGAATGGTTGTAAACTTAAAAGAACTGTTAGTGAGGATATATGAAGAGAACACATATGGCTAAAACAACTCACAACTCTGAAATCGTAGGGTCTCGATTTCTTCTCTCTCCAGAATAGCAGGGAATCTCTTGGTGGATTCCTCAACAAGTTCATTACAGACCTTGGCCTCTGCTGGATGGGTTGTTGGACTGCTAGATTGTTAGACAGCTTGCTCTCCACAGCACAGAATCTCTTGGATTCCAATCTGTTGGATTCCCTGAACTTGTTTCTTGATGGGTAACTGTTAACCCCCACTACTTCCAGCTTAAGTCAGTTACAACACTCAACTGAAGATAAGTTACTTGTGCTCTTTCAGAAATGGGTAGCCTCAATTGTAAGAAGTTTCTTCTTTTCTACTGACAACTCTTCTTGTTTAGGGTTGGGCCCCCCTCAGTGCTAAAAGACCTCACCCCAATTTAGAGTGACCATCAGTAGTATATTTCCCACATCTTCATTTCAGCAAGCCAAGTCATGGATGGCCTTTTGCAATAATTACCAAATAGCTCCAGGGATCAGGGTAGTCTTAAAGTTCTAATGGTCTTCCGTTGCTCTTTAAAATTGAGTAGGTAGATAAAATCCTTGCCTACAAGGAGTGGAATAATTCACTCAATATCTGAAAGGGCCTTGCCTCTCATAATGTAAATTTAAATTTGCTCGTCTAAAAGGGACATGACCCTTATAGAAAGCTGACATATAGTAAACTGATTAATTAATTAATATAAAGTTGTAAAATTTCCAAGCTGAAAAAGGTTAATCTAGTTCAGCATAGCATGGTGTAGTGGAAGGAACTGGTCTTGGAGTCACAAAGACCTGGATTTCACTCAGTTACTAAGCTATGAATGCAGGCAATATCTCTTCTAGGTTGATTTCATCATTTTAAGAAGATATTTTTATTTTTATTTTCATAGGGTTGTTGTGAGGATCAAATGAAAAACATGCTTAGAAATCCTTTGTATACTTTAGTCCACAATAAAAATATCAACTACTATTGTAATATTACCAAATGTAAAGGAAGGGTAGCTTGTTCAAGTCCAGATAGGAAAAATTGCCCAGATAGTTTCAAATCATTTTGTATGGTGATCTTTTCTCCTGGAACCTGGTTTTGTAAACTATACTCTCCTTCATTTTATACAATCCCATGGGGCATCTAAGTAAAAGACTTAACATATTCAATCTCTTTTTGAAAATTTCTAAGGACAGCAAGCTCTCCTTTAAGGCACAGCCCATTTTCATTTTTACATGGCTTTATGTACTAGCTCCTGCTAGCCTATTTTATAGCCACACATAGCCAGGATTTTTTACTATAAATCTATGCAAATTCATCAAAGGAACACTGAACAAAGTGAGAAAAAAATTAGCTTCATTTATTCTTGAGAATTTTAAGAACACAATAGACTGAATTCCCTGTCCATTCCACTTATAAGCTCACCCCATACAGCCTCCCTCTTCCCAGACATACAACCTTGAATTCACTTTTCTCCTCCCAGACTGACACAGTATACCCGGCTTTTCAGTTTAAAATGAATGCCATCTCCAAACAATCTTAGATTTGCTTTCTTCAGGAAGGTAGGTAAGATTTCAGTAGCACAAATGTCTTGGCAGTGATAGCTCAGAATTTGAAAAGCAAAGTTCAGCAAAGCAGAGACAGAATATTGATTTGAGGTAAAATTAATCTGGAACAGCAAACCAAGATTTAGCTATCTTTTACCTTTAGTAAATACTGTTTTGCTTAAATGTATTAGCTGAATTGCTATTATAATAGAACTTTAAAACATTTTTCAGGGTGAGTCTCTCCTTGAACTTGTCTGGTGATCAGATCAACACCATTCCTCATTTCTCACTAGTTTGCAAGTTGAAGACATAGGGTACTCCTAAGAACACTCTTAAAAACAATATGACTCCCTCTCCACCCGCTAGTTTGCTTCTCATAAACAATCAACTGTCTCAAAGAAACAGCTTCACCAAATGACATAATAGCTAGCTATAACATTCCTTGTGTAAACTTTGGACTTATTTTTCCCTCAAATAAAGATGGTATCTTTCAGGTTCACTGGGCACAAACTTAGGAGCATAATCATAGTGAGTACACATGTGGCCAAGGTAACTGTATGACTTCAAACACTACAGGCCCTGAATGTCCTTTCTTTTAGTGTGGAATCCTGGGTCTTCGTTGGGTTTGTTGGTCAACTGAGCTCCCAGGTCCAGCTTCCCATCAAAGCTCTCATTCTTTTGCCTGTCCTAGATCTCTCTTGAATCCAGGGGTCAACTCTAAAAGTATGTCCACTATAGTGCTCCAGAAACTTCTGGCCTGGCAGCGCACAGAAGGAGACTTGTGGAAGGGCGTGTCTTTTTGACAACAGGCCGCCCTGGCAGGTGTGCTAATTACTTCTCAGCCAACGGCCAGGCTCCCTTTCAAATTCAAACAAGGTACTTGTTTGCATGTCATAAAGGGATCACCAGGTGGGGCCTCATTTTTTTTCCAGTTAGTTTAACACCTTATTATTCCCTTAGTTTAGGTGACTACATTAATAGAGCTAGGGGTTGGGAAACAAATCCCACTCCCATTTACCCTCCTTAATATGCATAATCCCATGGGGCATCTGAGTGAGGGAGTCAACCTCACCCATCTTTTCAATGTTCTCTGCTGCAATTTGTTTCACTGATCAATCTGTCAGTTTCTTTCCACCTGCTTTATTACGACCCCCATTCCACTTACCCTTTTCCCTACTGTTCTCAGTCTCTTAAATCAAAAGAACTAGAAGCAATACCTCTATTTTGTTAGGAAGATCTATGTAGGCTTTCAGAGAAGGCATAAATAAATATCCTACAAGGATAGGGAAGCTTTGAGGATGGTGGCGGGGAGAGGTGGTGGTGAGAGGAGCACTGAAGTCTTTGTAGGTAGAGGAATGCACAGATCTTTCCAATGATCAAATTAGGGAATCTGGTTGTGGTTTCACAGGGCTCCTTTGGTGGGGAAATAGTCAATATCTGAAGAGCTTGGGGCCGGCAGGAGAGGAACAAAGAAAAAAAGGTGACAGAATTAACCTGCCTCCAAGTGACACTTTAGCTTAGTTTTCAAAATCTTATACCTACCCATAAAGTGCTTTATATGTTTGTTTTTAAAAATTGTTTTCTTGAGGCACTTTTCCCCCAGCATTGAATTTTGACCATTGTGAGAAAGAAAAATTGAAGGGGGTGGGAGGTGGATAGATCATTATGTTAATTATCTCTAATTTTTCTTTGCTTTGTATATATGTGTGTTGTCTCCCTAGTTAGATTTTGAACTCCTTGAGGGCAGGGGCTGTATTTTGCCCCTTTTTGTAACCCCAGTGTAACAAATATGTATAGAATTGAACTGAAATGCCCCGAACATCTGGCCACTTCCTTTCAGAATGACTCCAGGGCCACCAGAACGATCGCAGGAAGTGGTGAGGGGGAAGGGGACCCAGGCACAGCTGAGAATACTCAGCCCTGCAGCCTCACACCCTCGGGTCACCAAGACTACAATTCCCATAAGCCTCCGGGGCCGAGGACGGATGCTGCACCCAGCCAGGCTCTCTCAGGCCCCCACAGTTTGCGCTTGCGCAGACAGCCTTTATGCCGGGGGCGGGGCAGGGGTCAGGGGTCAGGGAGAAGAAAGAAGGGCTGGATAAGGTGGAAGACAACCATAGAGTTCGGACTTCTCTCGCTTCCAGGGTAGAGCGGCCCCTAGAGTGGTGGGGTCAGCGGCTTGCAGAAGGGGGCTTGTAAGGGCGGGGGGTGGGGGTCTTTTTGACAACAGGCCGCCGGCGGGATCATGGCGACCAGGAACCCCCGTCCCACAGGTGAGCGGCCCCGAGGGGCCCCCAAGACGGCAATCGAAACAGAAACTGCGGTTATGCCCCGTCCAGACTCACCTCCCAACCCCCCATCCCTTCCTTCGGACCTAGGACGGGGCTTGTTACCTCCGCCCCCCAAGGCCCAATGCCCCCAGCACCTCCAGACCCGTCCCCTTCCCCACTACCCAGACCCCTTAACCTCCCGCCCTCCCCCAATGCCTCCTGCCTGGACCCCGAGTCCATGGACCCTTTGCCCCTTCCCCAGACACTCAGCTTCACAACCTTCCTACTCCCTCCCCCCCCCAAAAAAAGACAACTACCTAACCACCCCCTCTTTCTGCCCTGGAATCCCCCCTCCCCAGAGCCTCCTGCAACCCCTCCCCCCAGTCTTTATTTACCCTCTTCCGTATTGGTGCAAATCCTCCTTCCCTGCCTACACAGCTGCATCCCCTTCCTGCCTTCTTCCCTGCAGACGTAGCCCCGGCATCCCCTCAAACCCCCAACCTGTATATTGTCTCCTCCTTTATCCTTTTTGGGGTGCCCTCCTGGTCACAGAGCTCCCCTCCCTCACGTCCTCGTATCTCATTCCCTCTGGCTCCTCCCCCTATTTCTTCCTTGAGCCCCATTTCCTCCACTAGGACACAGCCAGGTTCCCTCCTTAAGACATAGGCCTATCCACCTCTATACAAGTTGTCCCAAAAGTGTTAATGCAGTTTTAACCGCTCTGAGACCTGTATTTGTTGTTTACCAACCCCATCTCCCTCCCCTCCAAAAAAGCAAACACCTCTTCTCTCCCTCAGTTTCAGTTCCTTATAAACTATATTGACATCCCTTGGCACTGTTCATATGTATTTCAGTCCTCCCACCAGCATTTATCTTATATTTCTCTGGTTCTGGGCAATCTGGATTCCTTTAATTGTTTGAAGTAGAAAACTTCATTTTGCCAAAAAAAAGGGTATCTTCTTCCCTTTTACCATTCATTTTACATCTGTCACTCTTTTGCTGTAAGGCCTACCATCAATTAACAAGGCATTCGCCTTGTATAGGCACTACTTTATAGACATACTGAAAATACATGACTTCTGCCATTTAATTTCCCCCATCCAATTTAACTCGCCCCAGTTTCACCTGGTGTTTCAGTAAGTCTTTGTGATAGGTAAATGAAATACTGCTATCACCTTTTTACAGTAGGAATTCAAAGTTTTATATACACACGATGTATATCTTTATACATAGGTATAGACACACACACACACACACATATACACATATGTATCTCTGGGTATCTGGAATTAGATATAAAAAACAAAAAATTTAAGGCTTCTCAGAAAAACCATTCTATTAGAAGTAGTGATAATTTTAAAAAGAAAACTGGAAGGAACATTTCCTGGCTTTTGATTGAATTTAATGCCTTTGTTTTTTTCTCTCTGAAAGAACATGACAGTGATGATGACTCTTATGAAGTACTGGATTTAACAGAGTATGCAAGAAGACACCACTGGTGGAACCGTGTTTTTGGCCACAGCTCTGGACCTATTGTAGAGAAATATTCTGTAGCTACTCAGATTGTAATGGGTGGAGTTACTGGATGGTGAGAATATAACATTTTCTAATCTTGTAGGACGTCGTTGACTCATTAAGACTTATTTATATTTAACTAAGAGATTGCTTAGCAGAACACCCTTAGAAACTGGATTTTAAGCCTTGCTTCTAAAACATAATGGCTGTGTGACCAGGGATAAGACCCTTAACATCTCAGTGCCTCCAGGCAAATGGTTTGGGGCTGTGAGAATATTTTTCTGATATTGATTTTTAGGAGGAGTTTGTTCACATTTGAAATCACAAGTTAGGACCAAAAAATAGTTAACTACCCTTCAAGAGATGCCTTTTCAATAAAGTAAGGTGTGTTGCAAATGGAAATAAACAGACACATTAGCCATACTCATAATTGTAATATTTTAATCTGGAACCAGTGTTATGAGTCTTTTGATTTATAGTAGTTTAGTTTGGGCTTTTAAGTGAATAATGGAGGTAATCAGGGGATTTCTTCACTGGTACTGCTGAACTTACCGTGTTCTACTAATTATATCTTGGAAAAATTATAATCAACCTCATACTCTCAGATATCTGTCTTAACTTTTCACCCATGTTAAGAAAAATACCTTGGCCTTCCTTTCTACCCTCAAGTTTGAGATAGAGGTAACTGATGTTTCTTTCTCTTCCTCCCGATCAAGGGACCTTTGAGGTGGGGCCACCAGCCAAATGGTACTGTATCTCTAACCTTTGGCTGGCAAATTCTCATCTGCCTTTCTGATTCTGACTGCTTGTTGAAATCCTTCCTCCCTTGTGTTAACACTCCACCTTAGCCCTTCTGGTTCTACCCTTTCTTTCGTTTGGGTCCTGAGGAACTGCCATTTTCATTAACAAAACTTCCTTTCATATATCTTTTCCTGGCACAATCCTTCCATCTTCTTGCCCTCAAGGACACCTGGTCTTCCCCAGAAGATGCTGTATCCCTGGCCACCCAAACCATATGTACCTTTTATTCTGGCCTGATATTTTAGACCAGGAGAAGTTCCTTCTGTTATGCTAGATCTTCCCTCTGCTGCTATCACTCAGCAACTGTTCTTTTTTTTTTTATGTTCAGTGCTCTTTCAGGTTCATAAAATCCAAATAAATCACCCTTTCTAAATCCTGTTGGCATTTATTTACTAGTGCACACTTCATTAACTGGTTCACAGTCTTTCTGCTACAAACCCTGACCTTATATTTGAGAACTTGAGTTGGTATCCTCTCAACCACCCCCTGGCTTCCCATTTCATCAACCTTCTCAGCTGCTGTCACCCTATATGTACCTTTATTCCTCCTCAGTCTCACACAGATGGTCATACCTATCATCTCACCATTTCCCATAAGTGTTAAATCTTCCAGAACTCTGAAATGTTTTATTCAATTGCTTCCCATGCTTTCATCTCTCCCCTTTCTCCTCCTAAACCTGCCCTTTGTCCTTACTGTGACCTCTTCTCCATAGTCCCTTGCTTTCCCCAGGCTATCTTCTCTTCAGTGGCCTAACATTCCTCTATTTCTGGCCTTGACCCTATAAATAACCAGTCTGTAACTTTCAAAAGCCTTGCCCTCTTGTGTTGCCACTTAAACTTTGCCAAACCTCACCCTTGTGTTACCCCTCACCATCATTTTTCTCTCCACATGAAGCAAGTCATGTGAGCTTGCTGACCAAGTCTATTAAAACATGTTATCTACTCTCAGCTGGGTCCTCACTGCTGTATGACTATGTATTTGTATTCTTCCCTAATTGACTCTACTGCACTCCTCCCAGTGGTTGTTGCAGAACTCTTTTTCTCTTCTTTAGACTCATAGATCATTGCTTTCCTATGCTCTGATGACCCTAAAGTACTTAAACTTAAAAAAAAAAAAGGTATTCTGCCATGAGTTCCCTTTTCCTTTTTTCTAACTCCCAACTCCCATGATATCATCCCCCATTTTATTCTCCTTTATCTCAGATGAAGAGTCTTGTCTCTTCTCATCAAGGCCAACCCCTCAAGGATATCCCCTGCCTTATTAAGGCTTTCCTCTCCAACCTTTTTCCTGCTTCCTACAAACTTGCTTGTGTCTGCCCAGTTTAAAAACTTTTCATGTGATCATGTCGTTCCCCTCAGCTTATTATCTCCTGTCTTTTACAGCCCTGCTCCTAGAAAAAAAGCTGTTCTATACTTCTTGCCTCTATTTTCTCATACTTACTTTTTTACCCCTTTCGATCTGTCTTCCGCCCTTACTGAACTAAAATTCTTCTTGAAAGTTACTAATAATCTCATTTATTTATTTATTTATTTTAGAGAATGAGGAAGTTTAATTTTATTTTTTTTTAATTTTGATTTATCAACAATCACTTCCATAAGCTTTTGAATTTTACGTTTTTCTCCCCCTCCCTCCCCATGACAAGCGCGCAATAATAGGCTATAGATATACATTAAATATATTTTCACATTAGTGATGTTCTAAGAATTAGGACCAATAGGAGGAACCACCAGAAAGAGGAAGCAAAATACAACAGAAGAAAAAAAATAGCAAATAGTATGCTTTGATCTGCATTCACACTCCATAGTTCTTTCTTGGGGTGTGGATAGCATTTTCCATAATGAGGTCTTTGGAGATGTCTTAGATCCTTGTATTGCTGAGAAGGGTTAAGTCTGTCAATATTAGTCGGTCACACATTGTGGCTGTTACTGTGTATGACCTTCTCCTGGTTCTGCTCACTTCACTCAGCATCAGACCATACAAGTCTTTGCAGGTTTTTCTGAAGTCTGCCTGTTCATCATCTCTTATAGCACAACAGTATTCCATTACATTCATATATCACATTCACAGTTATTATTGTGCCTTTCGCTACATCCTTCCCCCCACCAATGCTTTTCTTTCTCCTCCTTTTCCTTTCTCATTAGTGTTTTTCTTTTGATCACCTTTACCCTTACTATTTCTTCCCTCCCTTCTATCCTCCCTCCCTTTTTTTCCCCTTTTCCCTCCTACTGCCTATAGGGCAAGTTAGATTTCTATACCTAACTGATTATGTTATTCCCTTCTTGAGCCAAATTTGATGAGAGTAAGGTTCAAACAATGCTCATCTCCCTCCCTTCTTTCCCTCTGCTGTATAATAGGTTTTTGTGCCTTTTTCTGTAATGTAATTTACCCTTGTCTGCCTCCTCCTTTCCTTTTCTCTCAGTACATTTTCTTACTTAGATCAGATTAGTCCACTTACTTGGATCCATTTAACCCACTTGATTAGATTTTTTTTCTCATTACATCAAAGTCAATTTATACCCACCCCCTTTATGTATACTCCTTTAACAAGGTATAATAATACAGTTCTCAAGACTTACAAGTGTTATCTCCCTTGTAGGGATGTAAGCAGTTTGCCTTTATTAATAACATGTAGTTTCTTTCTGTCCCATTTACCTTTTTATGTCTCTCTTGAGTCTTATATTTGAAGATCAAATTTTCTGTTGAGCTCTGGTCTTTTTATCAGGAAGGTTTGGAAGTCCCCTATTTTGTTGAATATCCATTCATTGAATTCCTCTGAAAGATCATCCTCATTTTCACTGGGTAGTTGATCCTTAGTTGTAATCCAAGCTCCTTTGCCTTATGGAATATCATATTCCAAATATTCTCTTTTAAAATAGATTTTTATTGATATCTTTTGTTTTTAGGTTGCCTAGATTTCCCCCTGTATTCTTTTCCCTCCTTCCCAAAAAGCCATCCATTATGGCAAAGAATTTTTTTAAGAGGAAGAGAAAAAGAAATGAAACAAACTGATCAGTATATCAAAAAATTGACATATGTAGTATTCTAGATCATTATTTAATATAGCATAGTAATGTTCCACTAACGATCTCTTAATTGCTAAACATGATGGCCTGTTGTCATTCCTCATCCTCCTTGACCTTTCTGTGGCATTTGACAATGTTGCCCATCTGCTTCTACATGACTCCTCTTATCTCAGGGTTTTTGTAACACTGCTTTTTACTAATTCTTTTCTGCTTGCCTAACCATTCTTTCTTAGCCTCCTTTTGTTATTGATCGATGTCTGGCTGCCTAACTGTGGATATTCCTGTGGTGTCTGTACTGGGTCCTCTTCTTTTCTCTTTCGTCTCTACACAGATGATTCCCAGATCTAGATCCAGCCTTTTTCTCTTCCTTGAGCTTCAGGCCCTCATTATCAATTTTTAGATCTCCACTGGGGTGGCCCATAGGCATCTGTGACTCAATAGGTCCAAAATGGAGCTATCCCCTTCAAACTTATTTGTCCTCCGAATTTCTCCATTTTGGTTTATTCAAAACATTCCCTCTAATCACTTTGTCACCTCAGAGTTACCCTCAACCCCTCATTCTTCCTCTATCTTCATATCCAGTTCTGCTTCCACATCTCTCACATTTATGTCTTTCTGTCTCTTTACATGGCCATAACCCCACTTCAGGGCTTTATTCTCTCTCACTTGGCTTCAGGCTGTCCCCTCTCTAATCTGTCTTCCACATGAATCCCAAAATCATTTTACTAAGGTGCAGGTCTGACCATGTTCCTGACCTGCTCAGGAACCTTCTCTCCTATTACCTCTTAGATAAAAAGAAAATGCTTCCACCTGGCGTTTAAAGCTCTTCCCACAATGGCTTTAGCCTTCCTTTCCAGCCTTTTTCACATTATTTCCTTTCATACGCATTACATTAAAGCCCGTCTCATCTACTTGTTCCCTGAATTTGGCCCTCTGTCTGCTTTTGTGCTTTTGAGCTTTTGACGAGCTATGTCCCATCTTGCCTCTTACAATCCTTAGTTTTTGCCAGTCTTTCTTGATCATCTTAGCTTTTAGTATTCTCTCCTCATATTATGTATAATCTTATCTGTTTATATGGTAAAGCCTTTAGTAGAATGTAAACTCTTTCTTGTGACCACTCGCCTTTCACTGTTCCATTCCCAACACTGAGCTCAGTATTATGCGGTTGCCAGTCTTTATGAATTGGGGGCAGAGGGAGAGGGGAGAAAAGCAGAGATAATAATAACAACAATAATAGTTAGCATTTATA